GCAGATCGACAAATGCCATGACTGACTCTTTGGCTAAACAAGGGGTATCAAGGGAATCTGTTTTGGGCTACCTTATAATTGTAATTCAGACTAGTGTGTGATTGTTTGCTTAGTGCTCAATTCCAAGGGGAGGTAACATCTCGTTCCTCCTCTTAGGTTGATTGTACACTTTTTCTATGATTAATAAAATTCCACAGGGGAGTAGGCCCATTTAAAGCGTGGAGGCCAATATAGGTGGGCCGAAAATTCAGCCCATTTAAATCCCTCCGACAATCCAGTTAAAATTTTAAAGCCCAAGGTCTAACCCATTTCTACTGGACTAACCTACTAAGTAGTCACGTGACCGCCCATGTGATCGAGAGCAGTGATTTAAAAGGCATGCTTAGGCGCACAGGTGAAGCGCATTTCAGTGTATGCACCTCGCCTAGGTCCTAGGCGCAACCCTTTTAAAAGGCGCACGCTTGATGCGCCTTGCACCTTAGCCCAGGAGTGCACTTTTTGAAAATTTGATGCTTTTTTACTTTTTTATGAACCTAGTGGCTTGGCCGGGGGCATCGTCCCCGGACCCCCATGCCATGCCCCTCGAGAAAAGCCCAAACAAGTGCATATTAGGCTTTGAGAACCCTTTATTTTCTAATGTTGTTCATTCATTCGTCTTTATAAAGTATCTTCTTAAAAGCAATTAAAATTATAAAATCATCTTATATGAGAATTAAGAATTTATGACCCTAACATGGACTTGTTTGGGCTTGCCTCGAGGGACGGCACAAAGGTGACTTGTAGAATCAGGAATGTAATATGTTTTACATCACATTAGCTATTTGAAATAATTTAATTGAGGAAGAAAAGAGATTGTGGGTTTTACATGCTTGAAAACGTTTTATATGTTTGATTTTATTTTTAAATTCTCATTTGAATATGCTTTACATGTTATGTTTATGTATTTTAATTTTAGATAATAGGTTTTTCAAAACATTTATTTTAAAATTTAAGTTTATATTTTTATTAATATTATGTTTAATATATTGTTTTTTGATTTCTCAACATTTTTTGATTTTTTTGATTTTTAGAATTTTTTGTATTTTTGCGACTTGCTTCAAAATGGCACACACCTCGCCTTGCACCTCAGGTGCAAGTTGGTCCCTGTGCCTTTTTTGTACCTTGCACTTTTTAAACACTGATTGAGAGGGATGACTAGTTGCTAGACAATAGTAATTGTCTACCTTCTTCCCCATTGAGCAATCACTCTTTGTTATGTAAGCTAGGCGGCAACTCTCAGTCCTGATGCTCTCTACAGTGGATTCCCTCCACCCCAGATAGGTGCAATCCAAGGTGTTATAAGTAGGGGTGGATTTGAGCCGAGTCGAGCCGAATAGTACCGGGCTCAAGACTGTTCTACAAGGCTCGAGCTCGAGCTCGGTTCGAGCTAGAACCTTGAGCTCGAGCTCGAGCTCGGCTTGAGTCAAAAGTTCATAAGCTCGACTCGATTTTGAGAAAAAATATTTTATAAAAATAAAAATTATATATAATTTTTTATTTTAAATTTAAGAATTATAATAATTAATAATTATAATATTTTTATTATATATATTATTTTCTATAATTTTATTATATAATTATTATATATAACATATATTAAATATCAAATATATTATTTTCTATATATATATATATATTCGAGCCGGTTCGCGAGCCTCATGAGCCGAGCTCTAATAGGCTCGAGCTCGACTCGTTTAATAATCGAGCCACTGAATTGGTCTCAAGCTCGAGCTCGAGCTCGGTTGAAATCGAGCCGATTTGAGCTTTTCACGAGCCGAGCTCGAGCAGCTCGTGAAAAGCTCGGCTCGTTGCCACCCCTAGTTATAAGTGAAGTGATCTAAAAAATCTAGAGGTTGATGCTTGTTCAGATGAAGACTAGCTGTGAAGATTCTGATGGTGATGATATGGTAAGTTTGGGAAGTGTGGCTTTGAAAGGCAACGACAATCTTCTAGAGGTTGAAAGTCTTCATATGGAAGTTCTGTTCTTAGACGAAGTTTCTGAAGTTGAAGACCGAAGGGATGGCTGTAGCGACAAGGTCATTGCACCGAAGCTGTGCAGGCTATGTTCCCCTTCATTGAGAGGGTTGACCCAAATTCCAAGGAAGTACAGAAGTTTGGGGAAAATGCACAAACCTTTACCGTGGGGAATGACGAGGGTAGTCAGAAAACGGAAAAATTGAGGAAGGGTCCATCTTCAGGAACACCCTTGCAGCCAAATTGGGATTTTGTTTTGTAGGGGGTTAAGGAATGCTGAAATTGATTATTTATCTCATTTGCTTGGCTTACTAAATCAAATTTGTCTAGATCCTTCCAAACCAGACAAAAGGGTGTGTGGGTCCCTAGTCCCAAAGGGATGTTTACTTGTGCCTCATTCTTTAAGTCCTTGTCCATCTCTTATTCAACAGGTTTTCCCTCGAAGGAAATTTGGTTCACGCCAATTCCCCAAAGGTTATGGCCTTCTGCTGGGAAGTGTACTATGAGAAAGTAAACACTTTCGAAAACCTACAAAAGAGAAGACTCCTCCTTTGTATTTCTCCCAGTCCCAACTGGTGTACCCTCTGTAGAGCTCATGGGGAGGACTGTTACCATCTATTCATTTCCTGTCCACTCTCTACAGAATTGTGGGTTTGGCTTCTCTCTTTGTTTGGGTGTAATTGGAGCTTGCCAGCAGAAGTACGGTTGATCTTTTTTTTTTGATAAATTTACCTTCAACTGGCCTACAAAAAGAGGAAGATCAATGTCGAGATGTGCGAGAGCAGCCTTGATTTGGACAATATGGGAAGAAAGGAATGATAGAATATTTCAAGAGAAGGAAAGTAATAATCAGCAACTAAAAGACTAATGAATAGGGCAATACAATGGTTGAAGACTTTAGACATGTTCTATCAGTTCTCCTTTAATGACTTCTGGAGAACTTTGTTCCAATAGTGAGGTACTCTTCCATCAAGAACAGGGTAGTCTCAAGATGGTGTCCGGCTGACGGCTCACTGAAACTGAATTTCGATGGTAGCAGCTTGGGTAATCCAGGTCCTTTGGGACTTGGTGACTCTGTTAGGGCAGAAATTCTAGCTGCTGTACAATGGGTAGAGTTTGCAAACCAAATGGGGGTACAACGACTAATTATTGAGGGTGACTCAAAGGTGGTGGTGGGCTGGCTAAGGAAACCTGATGAGACTGTTTGGTGCTATAAGAACGAAGTTAAGAAGATTAAATGGCTGACAAGGAATATGTCAGTGTCTATTCAGTGGGTGGGGCGATCAGCAAACGCTTTGGCTGATGTGTTAGCCAAGCAAGGGGCAAACAGGGAAGAATTGTTTTGGGTTCAGTTGTGATTCCAGTAAACTTTTCCTAACTTCTTTGTATTATTGTCATGAGAGGCTGCAGCTCACGCCTCTCTATGGGATCTTGTATGAGGCTGTAATTCTGAAGCAATTTCTGTTTTAATAAAATTGCATTATTACTCATAAAAAATTTTCACTCATTTATCAAAAAAAAGAAGAAAGATCTTCATACGATGTTCATTGATCTAGAAAAGGCATATGATAGAGTTCCTAGAGAGATGATATGGTGGGTCTTGGAAAAGAAAATGGTTCAAGATAGATATATAGACCTAATTAAGGATATGTATGGGGGGCAACAACCATTGTTAGAATATTGGTGGGAGAGACTTCAAATTTTACAGTTACTATGGGTCTTCACCAAGGTTCAACACTTAATCCTTATCTATTTGTAGTAATCATAAATGAATTGACAAAACATATTCAGGAGGAAGTTCTATGGTGCATGCTGTTTGTTGTTGACATTGTTTTAATTGATGAAACTATTGAAGGATTAAATGCAAAATTAAGCTTATGGACAAGTGCCTTAGAAACAAGAGGTTTTGAAATAAATAGGACAAAAAAATATGACATGTAAATTTAGTAGTAATAGGAGTGTAAATATAGATACTTCAGATTCAAGACCAGAAGATAATTCATAACAAGAGAGAGATTGAGGAGGATTTTACCCAAAGAATTAGAGCATGATGGGAGAAATGGAGGGGTGCATATGGACTTTTTTGTGAAATGCAAATGCCACTTAGATTAAAAGGAAAATTCTATAAAACAGTTGTGAGCCAGCTGTTGTATGGAGCACAGAGTGTTGGACAGCCAAGAAATAACATGTCCAGAAAATGGATGTGGCAGAAATGCTAATGCCAAGATGGATGAGTGGAAAAACTAGAAAGTATAGGATTAGGAATGAAGTTATCTGTAGGAACCTTAGAGAATCTCCAATAGGTGATAAAATGGGAGAGTAGACTAAGATGGTTTGGACATGTGTATAGAAGACCACCAGCTGCATCGATTAGAAAAAGTGATTTGTTACACATTGAAGGGGCTAGAAGAGCTCGGGATATACCAAAAAGGACATGGGCAGAAGTAGTAAGGAATGATTTAAGCACTAATAATTTAACAGTGGATATGGCTTTAAATAGAACGGATTGATGAAACAGGATTCATGTAGCCGACCCCATATAGTTGGGATAAGGCATGGATGATGATGAGATTGTTCAGATTCATAATTGAAATACAGAATAGAAAATTTTCCATATCTTGTAAAGAAAAGGGATTTTTTAATGTTTATGAAATTTTAATTTGTTTGCTTTATTGATCTTATGCCTATAATTGAGCTATTAAGTTTAAGTGACAGAATTCCAAATTGCTTTTATTTTATGCTAAATATCCTAACCTGGCTATTTATAAATGTTGAAACTACAAAAAACTTGGAATAAATAATGGTATTTCTAGATAGAGTTGTGACAGGACAGTTTATTTGTCCAGTGATAATAGTGGAGATTTTTGCATGTTAAAGGACCATTAGAGGTTAAGTGAAGAATACCATGTCTTTCCTTCTGGGTGTTCTTGAACTTTTTGCTTACGAGTCTCCTTTTTAATTCTTTCTTTTTCTTTTTTCCTGTTCAGGTTAAGGAAGTCTTTTCTGCAATTGCACCAGCAGTGGGTTTATCTGTGGGTTTGGCAGTTGGTCAAACATCAATTGCTGATGAAATTTCACAGCTTATCAAAAGACCTAAGCTTGAGGCAGGCATCTGTTATGACCCAGAAGAGATTAGGGTAGAGTTCCAAACTAATGTAGACATTTTGGTTGCAACCCCCGGAAGGCTGATGGACCATATTAATACAACAAAGGGTTTTACTCTGGAGCATCTTTCTTATCTTGTCAGTAACTTTAATCTCTTGCTAAGACTTTCTATTTATTGCATTCAACTGAAGTATGATGTATTTCATTTGAATACATAATTTATGCTTATAATGAATACCTTAATTGTGGATATCCCTGAGATTAAATACAAATTATTAATGGCTGGTCCAATATATGGGAGTTTTGATGGTAGTTCCAACAAATAGGCTACTTTGCTTTGTTTGAAACTTATTGAAAATTCACTTTAGAACTTCACCCATTTTCCTAGCAAAGTAGCAAGTCTGGTGTCTGAGAAATCTCATGCTAGGTTTAGTATTTTCTGTTTTGTTTTATGCAAGATGAGTTATATGAATATAACTATATGCATAAGACATATGCTTATCAGTGTATATTGATAAAAAAACCACATACATCTATATATGTTTATATTGATAAAATATACATAGTAATGGTGAAACAGGATTCATGTAGTCGACCCCATGTAGTTGGGACAAAGCTTTTAAATGATGAGTTATGTGTAGATGTCTACGTGACTTGCATTCTAAGACTACCAAAATTTGCCAATTTACATTAATTCAGAGGATGAAAGAGTACAATATGCTTTACCTTTCTCAAAAATGAAAAAAATGGGGATACAACTCTTGATGTCCTAAAATGCTGGACATGGATACGAGTATGGGTATACCATGTGATATGCTTATATCATGCGTTTATATCTAGCTTTTGAAACTAAATATCATTTCTCAAGACTTATGTCTTGCCAAAATTAATTAAATTTATAACATGTAGAAATATTTTATAGTATAATTTGTTAAAGTATATCAATTTTACGTATTTTAAAAGTGTTAGTGCTATAACATACATCTAGAAGTGTCCATGCAGTATCTTATTATCCAATAAATATTGGATGTGATATTGGCATACTAGGTATATACAAGTATCCAGTTTTCATAGGTTGCATCCTGCTTACTCCTTGTTTGGATAAGGTATCAGCCATATTTTTCACATATATAGGAGTCAAATGGAATGTTGCATCCAGATCATCTGCCAATTTTTTGATTTCATTATATATCTGTATTTCCAAGTTCCCATGTATTTTTTCTAAACCAGTCCACCACTACTCTGGAGTCACCTTCCACCATAATTTTTCTGTAATTGAGGTTTTGACACGTCTTTAGTCCTTGTAGAACTGCCTCGAGTTCTAACCGTAGAGTCTCCATTTCCAATGGAACCCAAGAACAATGATTTAGGTGCACAGGCGAGGCGCATTTTGGGGTATGCGCCTCGCCCAGGTCCTAGGCGCACCCTTTCAAAAGGCGCATGCCTGGTGCGCTTGATGCGCCTTGCGCCTCAGCCCAGGCGTGCACCTTTTTAAAATTTTGCGCTTTTTGCTATTTTTTTTTGAGTCTAAGGACTGGGCTGGGGGCTCCGCCCTTCGACCCCCGACCACTCCCCACGAGGCAAGCCTGAACAAGTATATGTTAGGGTCTGAAATTCTTATTTCTCACATAAAAAATAATTATTTTATAACTTTCATTGGTTTTTAAGAAGATATTTTATTGCAATGAATGAATGAATGAACTCCCTTTGGTTCGCTCACTTCGCTCGCTCACCGAAGCTCCGAGAACCCCCTATTTGCTAATGTTGTTCATTCATTCATTGCAATAAAATATCTTCTTAAAAAGCAATGAAAGTTATAAAATCATAATTTTTTATGTGAGAAATAAGAACTTCAGACCCTAACATATACTTGTTCGGGCTTGCCTCGAGGGGAGTGGTACAAAGGTGACTCATAGAATCAATAATGCCATATTGTTTTACATCACATTAGCTACTTGAAGCAATGCAATTAAGGAAAAAAAAGAGATTGTGGGTTTTACATGCTTGAAAATGCTTTATATGTTTGCTTTTATTTTTAAATTTTCATTTGAATACGCTTTACATGTTATGTTTATGTATTTTAATGTTAGATAATAGGTTTTTTAAAACATTTATTTTAAAATTTAAGTCTATATTTTTTATTAACATTATGTTTAATATTTTTTGAATTTCTTGCATTTATTTAAAACTTTTTGGCATTTTTTTTGAATTTTTTTGACTTTTTTTTGTAGATTTTTTTTATGTAATTTTGCGCCTTGCTTAAAAAGGTGTGCACCTCACCTTGCACCTTGCGCCTCAGGTGCAAATTGGTCCTTGCGCTTTTAAAACACTGCACAAGGAGAGAACCATTGTAGGTCCATCATGTCACCTAAATAGTCCTTGATCCCAGATATCCCAGAATTCCCTAAGCTGCAATCTCAAAATTCAATTTGAAACAGGTTGAATAGGAGACATCAATGGAATAGGATGCAACAATGGCTTGCCAGTTGCTAATAATGTCACCAGTAGATAAAGTTATCAAAGATGGGCATAGATTTCACCCAATTTGCCACCCTCATCATAATAGTTTTCATCAATTCTTCCTTAATTTGTCTCGTCTTTAAATATCCACACATTTCGTTCTTTCCAAACTATCCATAAGATAGCTGCCCTTGTACATCTCCACAAGATTTTACTCCTTTTCTTTGTTGGAGAGAAAGTGTTTGGAATAAGCTTACCAAATATGGTAGGGGGAGTTCACTAGCAGCCAAAAACAAGCAGAAAGGAGATTAGTGTGTTAAAGTTAGTCTGACAGACAGTGTTGCATGGACACATACATGAGAGTCAGAATCTGACTCATCTCCAGGGGTCTGATTTGGCAAGACAAAGAAACAAGGTCTCATAGATACATCTGGTACCAAAATAGTCTATATTTTGTTGAATTTTAACATTTTTGACCTATAGAAAATGGTCCAAAAGATTATCTTTGCTAAAATTTTATTGGGAAAATGGCATTCATTGTGTAGATTAGCTGTTAGGAGAAAGAAACATTGCATTGGAAGTGTCCTTCAAGAATTTATGGAGTGTATGTTGGAGTCCAATGTGTCTCCAACACACACGCTTAATCCATTTTGGAGGGTCCATTTGAGACAGATAACACTCATTGAACCTTTTCTTTTGAAGATGATGACATGTTAATTTTTTCATGTACCACCTCCCAATAGAAGGCCTTAATCTTAGGTTAATTATAATCTCTGTTAAAAAAATTTTACATGTTCTTAATTTTTTTGGAGCAGCAAATGATGTGGTTGACAATTTTCAGGTAGTTGATGAAACAGACCGGTTACTAAGAGAGGCATACCAATCCTGGTTGCCTACTGTGCTTCAACTAACTTGTTCGAATGAGGATGGCCTGTTTCCTAGTGCCAGAACTGTAACTCCTACACTTGGTTCCTTACAAACCATAAGGAGAAAGTAAGTAATCTCTCTTTTTTTTTTGATCAATAACAACAGCTGTTCATCAAAATGAAACAAAATTAATTACAAGGAAGGGGAGACGTACTTTCTTAGCTCCCCGGGTTAGGCAAGAGCCCCCCAAAAAGCAATAAAGTAGAATTACAACATAGCCCAAAATAAAGATTCCCGAGCCACCCCTTTCTTAGCTAACCCATCAGCAAAAGAGTTAGCAGTTCTCTTCACCTAACTGTACTTCACTTCCATATCTTTTGCCAGCCACTTGTAATTTTTCTTTTCATCGCTAAAGTTCCACAACCCCGCCTTATCCTCTTTTAACCATCCTACTACCACCTCCGAATCACCTTCAACCACAAGTCTCCTTTTATTCAACTCCTTTGCCCTTCGGATTCCTTCTAGAACCGCAAGGATCTCAGCTCTGAGGGAGTCATCTACCCCAATAGGGCCTGAAAACATAGCTGAAGTAACCCCTTTCTCATCCCTGAAAACTCCCCCAATACCAGATTGACCTAGGTTCCCTCTACTGCTGCCATCAAAGTTCAACTGTATTAACCCGTAGGGGGAGGGGTCCAAGAAGGACTAGTCCCAGTTCTAATCTGAGCAGCACTAGCAATCTCCTTCCACTTTCTCAGCAAGTCATCCAGAGTAAAATCAGTAAATAAATCTGAGGTCTTTAACCATTGTGCTGCCCTTAAGTGGATTAGTTCTATTACAGTTTCAATACTCCTTTCCCTATCTGAGAAGATCCTTGAATTCCTTTCTTCTCACAATGTCCAACAAACAGCAGCCCTTAGGCACCTCCGCATGATCCTTCCTTTTTTCAAATGCCACCTGATCAGAGGGTGGCATTTATTTGATATTTGTTGAAATCTGTTTGTGCAGTGTTTCCTTTATTTATTTGATAATTGTTATTACGGCTCCAAGGTGGTTGGTTCCCATTAAGAACATCTTTTGGGCTAAAGAGATTGGACTATCCTGGTGGCATATCGCAGATATACTTTTTTACTTGTCAGATACCTTAGGCTGTATTTCATTACTTGGAAAACGAGTGGGAAAATAAAAGTTGTGGGAAATTCCTATAGGTATATTTTTTGACCAGTTTTTGTCAGTTTATTGATATAGAAAAAAAAAGAGCCCTATTGGTGTTTCTTTTCACAACTTCTTGTTGTATCTCTTTCTGATTTAATGAATTGATTTTTATGTTGATGATAAAAAAAAGTTCCCAACTACACCAGATCACTACACCAGACCGGTGTAACTACACCGGATAACTCCTGGTTATCCCTTTTCTTGCAAGAGAATCCACATGCTATTTTCTGCCTTAGGTACCAACCTGAATGATCAATTCAGGCTTCTTGAAAATTCCTTTGCTTCTCTACTAGAGAATCTTAAGGCCCAAAGAATATACAAAAACTAGCCACTAACCACTTAATAGTCAACTTCCACTGACAAATTATTCCCCCCATAGAAAAGGGTATCTTTAATCCTTGGGGGATTTGTAGCAATTCAGACCTTAAATATGATCCTTTACTGGATGGCTTTGTTTTGGTCTTGTTTGTAAGGTTTTTTTTTTTTTTGATGAATAAAGAAATTACTTCATAACTTAATAGAAAGCTTTAAGCTCATACAACAGCCCTTGGTGAGGTGCGAGCTGTAGCCTTTCCCAATCGATTACAAGGAAATTAGAAAGAAGAAAGAAGAAAATATAGGCATTACAGCTGAGCCCAAAACAAGAATTCCCTAATTGGCCCTTGCTTAGCTAAACCATTAGCCGAAGTGTTTGCTGATCTCCCCATCCATTGTATAAGAACAGACATATTCCTTGCCAGCCACTGAAATTTTTTGATTTCATTCTTGTAGAACCATATAATATCCTCGGGATTCTTCAACCACCCCACCACCACCTTGGATTCCCCTTCAATCAGTAGCTGCCCTACACCCAGTTGATTTACAAATTGCACTCCTTGTAGGGTTGCTAGTAATTCTGTCCTGACTTAATCCCCAAATCCCAAAGGACCCGAGTAGAGGAGTACAATCTCTCCAAGCTCGTTTCTCAGCACGCTCCCAATCCAAAGTGTCCTGGATTACCTTGACTGCTCCCATTAAAATTCAGCTTTAGTGAGCCTTCATGCGGTGGGGTCCATCTTGTAGTGTCCTAGCTTTATTGGATGAACACCTTGTTACTGCTGACCAATTCTCCATAAATCTGTAAAGTAGAATTGATGGAATAGTTCTATGGTCTTTAACCAATGTATTGCCCTATTCAACACAATCCTTTAAGTCCTGACTATTCTTCTCCTTCTCTTGGAATATTCTAGCGCTCCTTTCTTCTCAGATTGTCCAGATCAAGACTACTCTAACCCCATATAATATCTTCCCTATTGGCCCTAGTGATGATTCTATTGAGAACATCAGTTACTGGGGTAAAAAGGATAGGTGAAAGTGGGTCCCCTTGCCTATCGCCTCGACAAGTTGGAAAGGAATCCTTCACCACTCCATTAACCAAGATTGAGTAATGGCAGGTACTAACACACCCAAACATCCACCTACAACATCTCTCTCCAAACCCAAATTTCTTCAACACTTCTAAAAGAAACTGCCAATCCACCAAGTATATAGCCTTTTCGAGATCCAATTTACAAACAAAACCTCTTTTCCCTGACCTTTTCGTCTCCTCCACACATTCATTAGCAATCAAGATTTGATCGGTTATGTGTTGCCCTTGAATGAACACCCCTTTATCTTGGCTGATTATAGAGGGGGTAACTTCTTTAATCCTCAATGAGAGCACTTTAGCCAGAATTTTATAAATACTTGTCACCAAACTAATCGGCCTAAAACCTTTTGGGTGGATAGCATCAAGCTTCTTAGAAAGCCATTGTGTAGCCATCTAGACCTGGAGCTTTATCTCCGCCCATTAAAAATACTGTTTGTTTAATGTCTTCTTCCTCAAAATTCCTTCCTAGCCACCTAGCCTTTTCCTCAACCAATCTTGGCCAATCCACCCCTTCCACTAATGATTTCTCATTCAGGGGCATTCTAAAGATGGATTTGAAGTGGTCCACAAAGATCCTGGCTATCTCATCTTTGATTGGTAATCACCTCCTCTTCTACCTCTAGTTTGGTCACAAAATTCTTCCTCCTTCCATTTGGCAAATCATGAAAGAACCTAGTATTTCCATCACCTTATTCCATATTTGTCTTGATTTCTGCCTCTTATTTCCTTTCTCAAGAGCACATCTTTGAGGTCTTATTTGTCTTGATTTCTGCCTCTTATTTCCTTTCTCAAGAGCACATCTTTGAGGTCTTACTTCAGCTGTCTTCTCAAATCTCTATCAACCTCATTTAAGATATTTTGAGGTTCTTTGTCATCCAATTCTCCAATCCGAGAGATCAAGCTCATTTTTTGCTCCTTTGTTTCATATATTTGGGAATATTTCTGCTTTCTCTTTGGTTGCAGATGGGCTGCACCACAAGGCGCAGTGAATTTGTTCATCTCAAATTTCCTAAGGAAGCATAAAAAGAGGGGAGGATGTATGTGGAAGGTGGTAAGGGCAGCTGTGCTTTGGTCCATATGGGGAAGAAAGAAGCCTGTTGTTAGTGTTATTCTTTATCTTTGTTGTTAGTTTGTTGTCAGAGGATGCTGCCAGCTTGTTCTTTTCTTCTTTTAATTAGATTATTATTAGGGTGTGCCACCAGGGGTATAAGTGTAATCTCCTTTCTTTTATTTTATGTTGTGTTATTTTAAATGAGAAGTTGGGCGCCGCCAGCAACATTTTTTGACTCTCAAACTTTTTTCCTTCTCGTCTTCTCTTCTCTTCTTTCCTCTCTCTCCTCACTCTTTTGTAGAAAGAAAACATGGTATCAGAGCAAGGCTCTAGGCGATAGGAGTCTTTTTTCTCCTCTGAATCACACTCATCCACCCAGTTTTCTGATTTTTTTAGACAAGTGAAGGCAAGAAACTCTAATAGGATTGTTGAGAACCACCTGTTTCTGTTTCTTTTGGGTTCTTCCTTGGTCGTAGCACCAAGGTAACCCTAGTAGGAGAGGGCCGATGCTGTGAAGACCCTGTTTTTTCTTTGGCCAATGCTGTGAAGGCTTGTTCTTTGGATTTGCACCTTCGAACAGGTTCTGTACAGGGGTATGTGATCCCCTTCGACACAGGTATGTGCTGTGATTGGTTGGTGCGTGTAGTGTGTAGCCCAATGGGGACTGAGATTTAAATCTCTGGACTGTTTGATTGATGCCAGTGACATTCAGTGGTGTCTTATTTTCTTTCTGGACTGTTTGATTGTTCCTGGACTGCCTTGTTGTTGTTGTGGATTTCAGCAGTGATTGGTTTGGTGTTTAGTGCCCAGACTAAGACTGTGAGAAGTACGGGTTCAGTGGGGACTGGTTGTGTGCATCTGTAGATTGGGCTTTATTTTGTAGTTTGTGTTGCTCTAAATGGAAAATGATGATTCTACCTCATCCGGGGTTTACATCAACCATGGTTCAACTAGTATGGGAGGTGAAAACACGATGTTTCCTGTACCAATTACCCCTTTAAATGACCTGAACTACCTGGAGTGGGCTAAGGGTGTAAAACTTTATGTAACAACGAGGGGAAAAGCTGATTACATAAATGGAAGGGTGAAAGAATCCAAGAGTGGGATTGCTGATTATGATAGGTGGGACCAAGAGAACAGTATGGTGATGTCTTGGCTTCTTGTAGCCATGGAACCTGATGTGAAGAACTTTATGTGGGCAGATATTGCTAGTGAAATATGGGAACAGGCCAAAACCACTTATTCTGAGCAAATGCACTATGCCAAGATTTACTAGTTGCAAGCTGAATCCTCAACCTATGAACAGGGGAACCATAGTTTGTCAGCTTATTACTCATCCCTTACTTCAGTATGGAAGGAGTTGGACCACCATTAGGCTTTAGAATGGAAACATGATGATGATGCTAAAGCCTATACGAAGCTGGTTTCTCAGCAACAGGTTTTTGCCTTCTT